TGTGCCCAGCTGGTATGTGAGATTTTCCCCCTGAAGGTCGCCCTGGGGACTGTGGGGAAGGCAGGGGCGTGGGGAGTGGGGAAGGATCCATGCAGAGCTGTTTGTGAAAACAACTGCGCATTTCAAACATCTGTTTTGACACAGGGATGATATTTTCACAGTAATCCATCTACTGAATCAAATCAGAGAACCCATAGGTTACCATTCTGCCTAGCACCGACCTTTTTACCCTAAAGATAACATTCTTTTTTAAAATTCTGTTTTAAAAAACCCCCATTTATTCTTCCGTGAAATTTCATCCTGTGGTCAGGGAAAGGTTACCGCTGTCATGGCACATAGAGGGCTCCCAACGACTTGACTTTTCAGCCAACCTCAGTCCTCCCTTTCCCCCTGTGAGCACTGGCTTCCCCCGCTGCCGACTGTGTACCACTTATGTGATCATATTCCTCTGACGGGAGGAGGCTCTGTCCTTCCCATTGATCGAAACCCGCAAAACTGCTTTCCAGGTCAAAACCGCCTCACGGAATAGCAGAGCACAGCCGAGGGCCGGGCGGGCTCGGGATCCCTTTTCCATCGGCGGTGTCAGCTTGCCAGTCTAAGACCTTGGCTGTCCCCATCAATAGTCACCTTCCTTTGTAATCGAAGAAGCGGCCCCTGGCTGTGATGCTCACTGTGGAGGGGGGTGGGGAGACAGCCTGGGCAGAGGGGGCCTCTCCACTCCTGCTTTGTCCCTGCCTCCAGGGGACAGAGCGTGCGTCTGCTGTTAGACACAAGTGTACTCAGAGCACACTGCAGATCATTTAAGGTGCAGAACTTTGCTTTCAAGAAGGAAATTACAATGCACACAAGTGCTGCCTTCATCTCCCTGTTTTGCATTTATCTTGAGACCTGGGTGAGGCCACATACACCCAGCCCTGGCACCTCCCGTGGGAGGGAGAGGGGCGGGGGTGCGCAGGCAGCAGGGGAGAGTGCTCCATCTCGCCTCGGGAGGCTTGCTCCTGCCAGCCCCACAGGAAACGTCATGGGGCTCAACAGAGGCCTCAGAAGACCACTGTTTTTCTTAAGCAAAAAACCTCCCTGACCAAGCCCTGGACAATGTTCCAGGCCCACGAGTCCTCTGAAGGACCCTGGTCATGACTTGCCCCGTCTGAGGGATTGGGAAGGCCAAGAGCTTACTTGGGATACTCAAATTTTAAAATCCTATAGGTCAGATGTTCCAAACCTAGCTGCCTAGACTCATCCAAAGAGCTTAAAAATAAAACAGCCAGGGCTAGGCCCCAGGTGGACCCACTGAACAAGCCGAGGCTCATCAGAGAAAACGCTTCCCTCTCTCCTGTGCGCCTAGGGCATTCTTGTGAGTCCTACAGGCTGTAAATCTGAAGCGAGTTGTGAGCTGCAAATGGCAATAAACCTTCCTCATGCTGTCATCTTCACAGGGCTCGCATAGGTCCCCTCTGTTCCTGCCAATCGGAGTCTCCAGAACTGAAGCCAGGTCTTTTCAAAGGGTCCCCGTGCAGATTCTGACCACAGCCAGGGTTAGCGCCCAAAGGAGTCCACTTGGATTGATGTGACCAGACTGGTATGTGAGCTCTACTGGAGAAGGGACTGAGACAATCCCTGCTCTGGGTCACTCCAAACCCTGAGCAGAAGGTGCCTGTGTGTCCACCGAGGTGCTCCTCTAAGGCTATGTGGGTTGACAACCACAGCTGTTGACAACCAAGAATTTTTTTTTTTTTTTTTTTTTTGAGAAAGAGTCTCACTTTGTTGCCTGCGCCGGAGTGCCGTGGTGTCAGCCTGGCTCACAGCAACCTCAAACTCCTGGGCTCAAGCGATCCTCCTGCCTCAGCCTCCCAAGTAGCTGGGACTACAGGCATGCACCACCATGCCTGGCTAATTTTTTCTATTTTTTTTAATTGTTTGGCTAATTTCTTTCTATTCATAGTAGAGACGGGGTCTCACTCTTGCTCAGGCTGGTCTCGAACTCCTGAGCTCAAGCAATCCTCCCGCCTCGGCCTCCCAGAGTGCTAGGATTACAGGCATGAGCCACCACACACCCGGCCCAACCAAGAAATTGAGGCTGATTCCAGCACAGCCACCAGGAGATTGACAGGTTTCTAACTAGTAGAACAAAGTTACTCCAAAGCTGTAAGCCAGCAAAGTGGGTCAAACCCATGCTACAAGCGCAGGCTGAGCTCCTGAGAAAGTTCAGTTCTGGGAGCAGCCCATTAATCCCCTCAGGACATTCAGGGACCAGAGGGTGATGCCAGCTCAGGCCCATTCTAAGCTGGAGATGAAGCTGGTCCCCCACCCTCTGCAGAGTGGACCCTGCAGAACGTCTCTCCAGGGTCCCAGCCACCATTCTCACCACCCGTGGTACCAATTTCCAAAGCCAGTGGTCAGCGTGAGGTCTGGTTTGGGGGCTATGGAGCAGAAGGAAGTGAGCGGCCCACATACCTGAGGCCCCTGGTAGTATGGTAGTGGCACCCTGGTAGTGACCCAGGCATATAACAATGGAGATTGTTACTTCGTAAACAATCCCCTAAGAGTCTGGAAAATCCTTAGACGTGATCTTTAGAAAAAACAATGATAACATCATAAATCTTCACCCGATTATGTTGCGGTTAACAAAATGTTTCTACCTCGGTTACTTTCGTATTTGTGGAACTGTGTTCTGCCGTGTTGCTCGGAAAGGTCAAGTCATCTGCCTAAGGTCATATAGCTAGGAAGTGCCAGAGCCAGGACCTAAAAGAAATAAAACTGAGTAGGTTTTATTAGATTTTGTGAAATCTAGATTCTATCTTCTGAAGATAGAAACTAACTGAAAGAAATCAGTCTGTCCAATCTGTCACTAAATGTATTCTGAAGGTTTGTTGTTAGTAAATGGGTCCCCACATTTCCCATCACCTCGTGAAACACTTGAGGTCTCACTGGGTATCACTTGCCTCTTCAGCAGGCTCCCAGGACATCCTCAGTCCCTTCTGGCCATCATTTATTGAGGACCTACTGTGTGTGCCACTGTCCTAGCCTGCTTTCATTAGCTTCTCAAAAGACCACTTGCAGGGGGCCTACCAACCCTGCCAAACTCAGCTCTCAGCCCTGCTTAATCCACAAAGAGAAGGGGTCTCAGATGTCTTCCTGGTAGTCCCCACCCCAGGAGCAGAAGGTGCACAGGCTGACCGCTATGGGGAAGACGGCCCCCTGGCTGCTGTCAGCGAGCAGAAACCACAGAAGGGCACCCACATTCCTACTGACGCGTCCTTTTCACAAAAGTGTATATCAAGAACACATATAAAGAGGCCCTCTCACATAATATCATAATTTCATTACAACCACCTTTTTCTGATTTTGTCTCCACCATGAAGCCCATAAATCTCCCCATGGCCAAGGCAGCACCTGTTGGAAGCAGCACATCTCTGAGCCTGTCAGTGGCCTGAATAAACAATAATTATCAATAATTCACCAACTTGCCCGGTATTTAAATTTAGCAGCTAAAAAGAAATAGCAGTGTACATAGGTCCTGGCTGGATAGAAAGTCACTAACAGCATTAATTATAATAACTAACATTCATTTAGCACATTCACTATTCCAGGAACTCTGACCAGTCCTGCAAAGTGCTGTGACTGTAATTTAATCCTATGCAATGCCCATATTAACCGTGTGGGCAGGACTCAGGCATTGAAAGGGCTACCTAAATGTTCTCATGTTCTCATGGTGACCAAGAAGCCATGCTCTAAACAATTGTGCTATTTTGTCGGGGAAGGAAAATTCTGGATTGCCAGACTATTCCTTAAGATAGCACTTCCCAGTCCCCCAAATCCTTAAGTTCCAGGCTTAGAATTGCACATGCACAGTTTTTTTAGGTCACTATTACCCCCCACTTCCAGGCTGCCTGTTGGAGAAACATCCCTTGTGATGTTTCAGCACCTTTTGGTTCCAACAAACAGTATAAAAATATGCGAGGAGGAGAAAGGTGTCACATGAGCACGGGGTAACTAAAGCCTTTAAAAAAAAAAAACAAAACCCTCAAAACATTTTAAGTCCAAATGTTGGTTCAGATGGCAGAAACAAAGCTCTGAGGAAGTACCAAGCACTCATCTTCTCTTTGTTTCCCAGGAAAATATAATTTCCATCAGATATGATAGCTCTTTGGGGTGAAGACTTCATCCGGGTTGGCTAAGCCATTTACAAAGGCATCTTTAGCCTAAAAGACGAATGCAGTAAAAAGCATGCTACAGAATGAAAGAGGAGATTGCTGGAGATGAGTGCTCAGGAAAACTGTGAAGAAACATAGAATTACGGGTGACTCATACTTCCAGCCCTTGTGACTGCACAGGGGCCCGCGGCCCACGGCGGGCGGGCGGCGCTCCCGCGACGCTCACGGCTTCTCCGAATCTGAAGAAATTCTGGCTCGTTTCGGTTAACATCAGTTCGCAAGCCGGAGACCTCTGTGGTTGTCAGAAGCTATAGAGCAAACCTAAGACACAGAATTAATTTGTATTCCGGAGGTTTTTTTGGTCTTTCTATGAAAATAAAACCAGACCACAAAATCTCTTCAGATGTTTGAGGCTGCGAGGCCTCATTAGAAGCCAAAGCCGGAGTCCCCTCACAGCACGCCACGCCGGGACGCGAGGCGGGGTGACAGAGCGCAGCCCGCCTCTGCCCAGGGCCAGGACGACGGCAGGAGGCAGACTGCACTAGTTGTCGGGTCCTGCGCGTCGACACGGCTCCGGAGCCGCCGCCATCCCGGCCCTGGCGGAGCCATGCTGGGTTGTCCGCGTGGACGCGCCCCGCTCCCCGTTCCCGGTGTGGAGAATGAGGACTGGTCCCCAGTGGAGCCGATGATGGGGTGATCAGACACAGAGCAACTTGACACAGACAGTTTACCACAGAAAATAGAGAATGAAAGTAAACGGAGCTACACAAAATGCAAACACGCTCCACACACAGTAAAACGCGTCTGCCTCCCCAAGAGGAGAAAGACCCAAAAAGCCGACCACAGTTGCTTTTTATAAGCTCACCAGTTTGTCCCGCCTCTCCTCTGGCAGGATTGGTTGCCGTTTCCTGCCTTTCGGGGTGATTGACAGGTTGGTGTCAAATAACAGATCACATGGCAAGTGACGTAACAGGGTAGGTTCTATAACACTTTCACGCCTCTTTTCTGGAATTCTCCACGAAGCCCCACCCAGGTAATGCTCATTAGATGATAATGAGCTCTAAGTTACTCTAGGAACTTTTTAGCATGTATGTTCCCACCGGGGAACAGTTCCTTGCTGCAGTTTGGTTCCTAGCTACCGTTCGGTTCCCGCCCTCCGCCCCTAGCCACCTCCTTGCGCCTGTTTGCCGTCCTCCAGACTAACACCCCGGGCCTCTCTCAAGACCTGGCTCGATGTGGCTCCTCACGCAGTTGGCGTCCCCTTTCCCCGTGAGCCCGGGCGTGTTTGTTGGCTTGGTCAACGAAATATGACATCTAACAGCCCGATGCTTACAAGCACCTAGATTACAAACGCTTCCGGCTCACACATGCCATGCGAATCTTAGCAAGTCAAAGGCGTTTCCAGACCCGCGTGGCGCCGGGGACCCACCCACGCTGGGAGCGAGGCCGAGCTGGGCGCTGCAACATCTCCCCGGATACCCACACTCGCACTCCCCCTTTCTTCTTTGCACACGGCTGGCCTCCACTAGAACGTCCCTCAAAGTCCCGATTCAGGCATGACATAGGCAGGGAGGGTCGGCTAAAGAAACCCCAAGGAGGCCTTTTCCTTGGAGGAGACACTTCTCCGAGCTGCTCATGGAGTGGTTTCCGTTGGCACATCCTCTACTTTGCCCTTCTGTCTTTGTGTTGGATGTAGTTAACTGGCACTCAGCACCCAGTCTCAACTTTCTAGGGTGCCTTCCTGCAGCGCAGAACTGAGAGGCTAGGAGCATTCCCCAGGCGCCCTCTCTGCTGGAGGTGCTGAGGGTGCTGGAAGTCACAGAGGTGTTAAAGGTAGAAGCAAGGTGGAGGAGGGATCGGGGCCGTTGGCTTGTCATCTGCTGGCGACAAGGCCCCAGGGGTGTGGCCTCTTCCTGTGGCCCGTGTTCCAGTGCCCTGTCTCCAGCGCCAGGTGTTAAGAGACACTTCAGTCAGGGTTAGGGTTAGGGTCAGGGCTCCCACTCTGCTTCCGAATGCCCATGCCAGTTTTGTGGGTGTGGAGAAGCCACTGCCCCCAGCAGGGGGCTCCTGATCTGGGCATCTCAGCTCTAACAGTGTGTCCTGAATCCTACAGGCCCAGTGTGATCTCCAGGCCCCCCTGCTTCTGGGATGGGGCAGAAGCACTGCTCAGGGCATTATTTTCGGAGCTCTAGACTGGAGCCTGTGTTTGCAGCCCTTCCAACAATCGTATGAGCACCCAGCTCTCTAAAACATAGTCATTTCTGTTTCAAATACCTAAAGTGGGTTCTGTGTTCTGCTTTCAACCCCGACTGGCAAAGGAAATAACAATAACTACAACAACAAAAAATCCACATGTGTATAACCTTTTATTTGTTGTCTCATCAATCAGTTTGTGCTGCACCGAGCTTGGGTACATTGAACGTTGCATGCTGTTCAACTCAGCAGAGTTTTTCAGGTACCATACCACGATTTGCCAAACATTGAAATCCCAGGAACAACCTTGGAAAATGCTCACCAGGTGATAACAATAAAATTGGCTTTATTCGATATTGTATTAACTGGGGGGAAATGGCATTAATATATTTGCTATCATCAGAAATTCACTTATACATTCAGCAAAGAACCTGTATAGGCATTTAGAAGCCACTTGACTTAAATACTTAAAGGGACCCAGAGCAACTGAGAGCTAATCAAGTTGTGAGGACTGTTTTTTTCTTTTCTAAGATGGGGGTTGGGGGGAGAAGTAGAGAATAAGCTAATAAATTTTAAGAAGGTAACTTGAATTTTCAAAAATTAGGTATACAAAATGTCAAGTGCTGTCAATATTAGCCTTAAAAGTTAGTAGAAACAGAATATTATGCCAAAGCCTTGATGAAGCCTTATGTGTCTTTGGTAGGAAAACAAAAATCTAATATCACTTCCTACAGCTGGCTCATTACAATAAGAAATAGTAGGTGCATCATGCATTTCTATAGCATAATAAACTAAATTCATTAAAGTAAAATGCTATAGATAAAACTCCACCATCCAGAGTCTTTATATTTATAGGACAGAGATTTTATTTTGTCTATATTTTCCCAGAGCCTGTCATGCCAGGTGCAAAATGGGCCTTCAATACATATTTGATAAGGGAAGGATAGAGGAAGTCAATAAGGGAAGAAGGAGAAATAAATACATTTATGTGGAACTTATATTAACTCAAGCTCCAAGGTATGGTGGAAGTTTCTTCAGAACTAAACATAATAGAACAATGTAAGATATGAACATAATGAAAGTAAGTGTGGAAGAGAGATATGAAACCAGGCCAATTCACTGAAAATCATTGAAATGCCTACCTTGCTGAATACTAAGGATGAGAAAAGTAAGGAATGACCTAGAAAGAGACAAAAAGAAAAAAAAACCCATATCGGAGTGAATTTGGGGCTCCCAGGTACTAGAAATAAACCCAAGTTGATGTGCTACTTGAAAAATTGAAGAATCCTAAACATTCTAAAACTTTGACAAGAAGTGGCATAAATATAAATTCAAAGGAAATTGATATATACTGAAAAAAAGTCCCAGGTAAAATTTTAAAATTTTGATTGCTGATAATTAAAACTGTTTTTCTAAATATCAAATATATTCATAAGAGATCTAAATCACCTTATGACTCTTAGCAATCAATAAATCAAATATTCCTTAAAATGGTACCCTCAAAACAAAACAAAAGGAGTCAAGTACAACTGCTAAGATGTCTTCAAAAGGTGGCTAAGAACCACAGCGTCCACCCCACCCTCGGTCCTCTCCTCCCCGCCATCCTCTCCCCCAGCCACATGTTCCTTCTGCATCCTCACAGGGGGCTCCCGGCCTCCCACTGAGGACTTCCCGGTGGGGGTTCGCTCCCTCTCCCGCCTCTCCTCCGCCCTGGCCACCCTGCTCCTGGCTCTCCTCTCACCCAACCACGCAGTGGCCGTTCATTGCTCACTTCTGAACCTCACGTACAGTTTCTAGGGGCCCCGAGAGCAGCTGCCACAGGCCTCCTCTGTGTCCCTGTGAGGGGAGTAGAAGACCTCTACTCTCCTCTGTGAGGGGAGTAGAAGACCAGCCTCCTCATGGCCACTCAATAAATGTTAGTTGAATGGACGGATGAATGAATGAACAAACAAGAACTCTACCGTAGGGTGGGAGCGTGGGCCATAGGATGACACTCAGGCCAAAGGCTGGCCTGGTGGGGAGCAGAGTGGGGTCCCAGGTGAGTAGAACTGGGCTCTGGGCACCTGGGGAAGCCTCCACAGAGGCTCTTTGCCAAGTTTGCAGTTGGGACTGGAGCCCACCCTGGTTATAACCATAACCAAAACTGCAGCAGCCTCCAAAGTCATGAATAAATCTAATCGCATCCCTAGAAAGAGGAAACATGGAAGGGGTCATGGAGAAATTGTTTTCATGAGATTTTACGCCCAGAGCACCCTAATGGGTGTCACTATATCACACACGTCGAAACTCAAGTTTCCCTGCTGGATGACAATCCTGGGGCCGATCCAGGAGCCAGGACGGGTGTGTCCAGTGACGGGTCATTGTAACAAATGACAGAACCATGACGTGCAAATGAGCCCCCATCCCCGGCTGTCCTTTCACCATTATGTGGATAGTTTTAATAGGGTGTTTTAAAACACTGTATTTTACATTTTAGATAAAAAACTTAGACCAGATGCCTACTTTCACAGAGTCCCCCTGGCCCAGAGTGAAAAGAGGAAGACAAATTCCTCAGAGCCCAAGAGCAAAATCTGAAAGGCTGTTGACCATCACCCCCTCCCCAGGAGGCCTTCCCAGAAGAGATTAGCTTTAAGAGGAATTCAGAAGAACAGGAGTGTGCCTTAGACGACTCCAAAGTCAAATGCCTAGAGGAACATGAAAGGAAGAAAGGAGCTGAGAAGAAGATACCGCATTTAGAAGCACTACATAGGAGCAACCCCTTAGGATTATGGAATTATTTCTGGCTTGGACCTTGCAAGGTATTAAATGAACCCATGCTAATTTCTCTTTTTTAAAAATAAAGATCAAGCAGAGAATATTTAATTTAGAAGGGGCTATCCATGGCTGCGCCCATCATTCATTTTTTTCTAAAGCTCTCTCCTCCAAAAACAACTGAAAGGCCTTACAGATAAAAACACTCCAATATTCCATAAATAAAAAGCCATCAAAATAGACATTAAGGCTAACTGATACATGCTCGAATGCTTCTCTCCTCACACAAACAAGTTATTATTCTAACAGAATTGTGCAGTGGATGCTCTCACCTGTCCAAACAGCAAAAGCAAGTCTCTACAGAGTAGAAATCAGAGTTCAACGTGAACAGACACTCATAAGATTAACTGTACGGAAATGGAGCTATTTGGTGGCGGATAAGCACAGCTCTGGCATCAAAGTGACAGTCCTTTTGTTTGTAAATGTGCATTGCCTCAGATTAAATACTTTAGCAACACTAAAGGACAAAGGCAAACATTCACATTTTCTGACTGCTCTCTGGAGTGTGCGTGTGTGCGTCTGTGTGTGTGCGTGCGTGTGCGTGTGGCATGTGTTAGCACATGCACCCACACACAGCCCGACTCTCACATCAAGAAGCACAACTGGGACTAACGACATGTTCAAAGAGAGCGCGACCCCTTGCAGCGCCAGCTCGTGCGTTTGTGTGAGTGGGCAGACAACGATGGCCCTGCACACGGTCTAGCACTTCCCAGAAAGTGCCACCACCCGGACGGGATGCGGCCGGCGGCCGGCTAGGTTGTCTGGGTTGCACGAGATCTAATGGGAAGGACGGTGTCTGCACTCCCCAGGGACCCGTCCTGAGGGTCACACATCTTCTGAAAACACTTCTCGTGATGAGGCCCGTGCATTGTGCTCTTCCCCTGCAGCTGTCTGACTGTGAAAAGCCCGGGAGAGACATGGAACTGCGGTTATTTTTTACACCGAGCACATTCCACAAAACCCAAGGCTTCTCTTCTGGAGTTGACACTTCTTTTCTGTTAATCCTCCACCTCTCATCTTTCTCCCTTTTTCATCTCCCTAATCCATCTGGTTCAGCTGCTATCTCCACACTCACCTTCTGTGGCTCCAGGCCTTTTGTTCCACCCCCTCCACTTGTGCCTAAAAATGGCACCACGTCCCCGAGAGTGGCAGCGCCACACTCCCCCCTTCCCCTCCGTCTCAGACTGGAAGGCTATGTGGACCCAGCGCCTGCAGAAGGTTCCCCAGCACCAGTGTTTTCTGATGTTGGAATGTGCATCTATTTAGGAAAGCGTGTGGCTCCCACGGCCACGTATAAACCAGACGCTTGGCAATTAAACAGCAGAGTCGGGCGCGTGGCTACAGCTCAGGCATACTGCTCAGAGCGCTCTGCGGTCGGGGTTCTGATTGTGGCTCCATCCAAAATCTTACCTTGCTTAATGTATAGCCCTGCGTCTTCATAAAGATATATCAGAGGGCAGAATTTACTAGTATCTTTTGGGATTGCATTACCTCTTTTTAAAAAAGCAATGCTAAATGAAATCAACCAAAGTGGAAATAATAGCCACAAGTGATTGTTGTGTGACATTCAAAATGTAAAATGACCACAGAAAAGAAGTTGCTGGTGTTTTATCTGCAGAATGAGCCCCAGTTCTATCTTAAGCCTCTGCATGCTGCACACGTGTAGCGGAACATTAGACAAGCCCAGTGTTGCCACTGCCTAGCCTCATGTGTGACACAGGTACTGAGTGTTGTCATTTGTTTCAGGAGTACATTGTGAAGATTCATTCAGAAATGTTTCTAAAGTGCTTTGAATTCAGTAAAAAAGAAAGAAAGAAAGAAAGAAAGAAAGAAAGAAAGAAAGAAAGAAAGAAAGAAAGAAAAGAAAAGAAAAGAAAAAATACAGGCATGGGCTTCTTAATAAGCCTCAGATACAGTCACCTGGGGCTCAGGGAAGGATAGCTTTTCACCACTTTTGTTTTTTTTACGTGACAACTTTGGCATGAAATTAAGGGAAATGTTTTAGTTTCTTTGAGGAGGAGACACAAAATTAGAAAACAAAATATTTACTAGGCATTAAATACTAAAAATATCTAAGCTCCAGCTGCCTCTTTCAATCCATGCTACTGACTTTGTTCAGAATAATCCACCAAACATGTCAATGAGTCCCATCACCGTCACCTTCAGAGTACCTTGAATCCATCCTTACCCCAAATTTTCATGTGTGGATTCGATACGAGCTGGTCTATAAACGCCTTACCTAAATAACTTCCTGTGCAGCACACACTCTCCAACACTTGCACTGATACACACACTCACTTCCCTACACACACACACTCACACACACTTCCATACATACACAAATACACACATGCACACTCTTCCCCGTCTTGACCCCTTCCAATCTGGTCACCTCCTCCAGCCCTGGAAGACCACCTCTCATGCTCCTGACAATGGGACCCTCCTAGGAAAGAAAAAAATAAAGTCCCTCCTCTTCTCAACGCATAGTTTCTGGTGCTCTTGCTCTCTGAAGATCATGAAGAAGAAAAAGTGTTGGTTAGATCAGGAGACTCAAGTTCTCCCTCAACCTTGACCCAGGTCACCCTGGGGCCTTCCACAAGTTATTGACACTGAGCTCAGCATCCTCATCTGCTAGTAGAGATGGTGACACTCATCTCAATCTTCCTCCCAGGGCATAGGGAAGGATTATATCGCATAACAAAATGAAAGAATTTTGAAAAGTGTGTGACACAGTTTAAACACACTGTGTGTCTTAGTCCCTACTGTGTTGCTGTAACAGAGCACCTGAGACTGGGTAATTTATTAAAAACAAGAATTGATTGGCTCCCAGTTCTGGAGGCTGGGAAGTCCAAGAGCACGGCACCAGCATCTGCTTGGCTTCTGGCGAGGGTCTCCTTGCTGCAACAGCCAATGGTGGAAGACGATAGGGCAAGAGAGTGCAAAAGGTGGCCCCACTCACTTTTGTAACAAACCCACTCCTGCAATAATGACATGAATTCATTCATGAGGGAAGAGCCCTTCTGACTAAACACCTCCCTTTAGGCCCCACCTCTCAACACTGTTGCAGTGGGGATTAAGTTTCCAATACCTGAACTCTAGGGGTCACATTCAAACCATAATGCTATACATGGTTAATTTATTCAATTAAAGACATCTCTTTTCCTATCTTTTTGAGGCAGATATCATTCGGGGTAAGTGCTATACTTCATCCTAAAACATTCCTTAGTGGGACTGTGAAAGAGAGAACAATGGGCTGGAAGAATAAGGATCTCACTCAATAAAGAATCTGGAGGTCCTTGGCAAGACTCCAAAGTCTTCTGCCCTGCTCTGTCTGGCCCACCCCTGCATCTCTAGAGAATGGGGCTTGGGTCCCTGTGCCTCTGCTAGGGGCAGATCCAAGAGGCATCCATAGTCCAGGGGTGGATCCCAGTTGCTCAGGCCTAAAGGTCTATATTTTTATAAGTTCTCTTTTAAGGAAAATAAAATAAAACTGTAAGTCCAAAATTAAATATAAGATCTTAGAAAGCACCTGCAGAAGTGAAGTTCCTACAGTTTAGGTTTCATTAGCATCATGGTTAATCCAACTCCAGATTCAATTTTTCCCAATCGATGGGAAGTTTATTAAGTACATGGCCTGGGCCTTCTAATTTTAGGGAACTTCTCATAATCCTTAAGGTAGTTCTATGGTCTATAGCAGCAAGTACTCAGAACATGCTATGGCCCAGTTAGCAATTCCTATCCAATCCCCTCTATGAATTTTCTTTCTGCTACTGGGTCTAACAGTGCAAGCCAAATTACCCATTCCCTTCAACAAACACTTGAAGCACCTCAGTGCAGAGTCCTGTGCCAGGGCCTGAGGCAGGACAGGCGCCAAGATGCAGCAGACAGGCCTGGCTCCCCAGGAGCGCCCAGGCTTGGGGGAGAGGAAGATGTGAAAACAGAAGGCCATCGTGTAGGCAGGTAAGTCCTACACCCATGCTGTGTGGCAGGCAGGAAATAACATGCTTTTGCCTGCATGGGGGTAGCATTGAGCAGTCGAGAGGACCTGGAGCACCTGGGTTGGGAAAGTAGTGGGAAAACCTGGTAGCAGAGTGTGGAAAGAGTGACCCAGAGGTGGCCTATAAAGGATGCTTCAGCAGGCAGATGAGGGTCACCAACAGCGATCACAGAATACACTGTGTCCACCAGGATCAAGAGAACACACCATCTTCCCATCAGATATAAAGTGGGGCGGTAGCCAAGGTGCACATGGTCATCGGTCAACCGATCAGTCAACCAACCAGTCAACCAGTACTCGCTACACGTGCAACATGGCTGCACCGTGCTTTGCTCTGAACACAGGGGAAGGGAAAGGCGAGATCCCTACAAACCTTACAGATTAGTTTGGAGGAGAAAACCAACACCCCCCCGGCAACACAAGAACCACTCAGTGTCCATCTGTGTGGCATGAACTGTAAGTGCAAAAGCAATTCAGAGAGGGAACAATCTCAGGAGGTCAGCACCGTGCAGGGGAGGAACTCGAGCTCGACCTGGAAGGAAGAGGGGCCTGAGGCCGTGTGCTGTGGCTGTCGCCAGAGTGGTTCTGGACTCCGGGTGGCACCGGGACCGCCCCCGCGCCCAGCAGGCAGTGATTTGTGGTCCTCAGACGTGTGACCCAACCTCCCTGCGCCTCAGCTCGCTCAACTACTAAATGAAATCTATTAACCCCTTCCATTTAAAAATCCTATTACGAGATGTTTATATGGCAGAGAATACCAATTATGTGCTGTGTATATATATTAAAAGGACCTAAGGAAAAAAACTGTGACAAGGAGCTATTTCAAAAATGTAGGGGGCAGAGGATGTGTCTATGTGGATGGTGTTTTATTTGTTGGGTTCCCAGGCAGCCTCAGCCTGAGCCAGGAGCGCAGGAACGGAGAGGGGGGGGGGCCTGGGAGGGAGGGAAGGGGGAGGAGCTTCGGTCCCAGGTCGTTTGGAGCCCAAGGCCAGGACGCTGGGTTAGCAAGGAGGTGCCCTGCTGGGACGGGCTGGCTCGGGGAGGAAAAAACCCCCAGAAGACTGAGGAGCTAGTGAGCTCTCCACCAGCGGGGTCTCCATGAACTCTAAGTGAATCCTTAAGGAAGTTAGTCTAAGAAATTGTTTACTTGCGGACGCTTAAATTCTTCGGGGCAGCCGGCCTCAAGCCATCTGGGTTTCGCCAAGCACCTGAAATTGGACCTTAATGGAATAAACCGTGCAATGTAAACAGACCGGAGGAGAAGCATTTGTGACTGAGAGGCGCGCGCCTTACGCTTTAAGAGGGGCTGGTTCCATGTGTGTTCTGGTCTGGACTGAATTTTCTTTCAAAGAATTCAATTTGCTTTCCAGAGCAGGTGAGGAGAAGGAATGTGAAGCAGAATGATCGAATTTCATCCAAAAAGTACAGAAGTAATGGAATCAGGCATTACATTAATCCTCATCTTCAGACAAATTTCTCTTAAAGTCAGCAGGTGGCAAGAGAGTGGGCCAAAGGTGACAAGTGACGAAATCTGTGCTTCCCTTCTCCAAAGCCTGTTGCAAAATCCAGTATCCTCGCCCCATCCACGCAAGGAAAACAGCTCTTTTGTGCTATGAATGATAGATCCCAGTAATTATTTCTTTTTTAAATCCTTCATCCAGTTATCTGTGGTTAAATTTTCCTTCATTTGCAGGAAGGGTCTCCTCCTGCCCTAGGGTGGGCAGGAGGCTCAGGGCAGCCGGGCCTGTGGCTGAACTTCTGGGATGAAAGCCCCCCAAAGCCCCCTGTAGCTGGAAAGACCTCGGGGTCCAGCAGCTGTCTTCTGGGCCTGGTTTTGTCACTGACCAGCTGTGTGGCTTAAACAAGATGCTCCTGTTTTCTGACCCTTAGTTTCCTCATCTGCAATTTAGCCATGCCCTAAATTACCTAAATGGCCGGCCCTTCCCTCGGGGCAGGGTTGCAGGAAGGGCCAAAATGAAGGCAATGAGGACCCTTGGTGTTCTTAATATCCTTAATATTAGAGGATCCCTGATATTTCTTTTGAGTCTAAAATCCTGATACTAATGCTTATTACTTTGTAAACTGTTCATTGCTACATAAACACAAAGTATCGTTAGTAAAATTGCTCAGCAACCCAAGGGCCCTGAAATGGAACCAGACACACCCTCCCCAACCTCAGCACCCCCATCGAATGTCACTCTGTGCTCAGGAGCCTCTGCCAGGGAGATTCTCAGAGGCCGAGGACTTGGAATAACAGAGAACAAAACACACAAAGATGCTGGATTGCATAAACAGAGCTTCCCGGGAAAGCACCACCCTCAGTGCGCCTGTAACAGAGGCGTATCCCCTCCTCCCATAGATACCGGAGGGTGATGTTGACAGTAGGAGGATGTAACAGAAGGAATGGCCTGAAAAAAAAAATGGCAGAAATTATTTATGTCTCTTTAAAACAGCCCCCACTCCTTTTGGAGAACTAGGACCTGCAGCCCTGCAGCAGCCCAGCAGCGGGGAGGGGCAGAGGAGTGTGCCACAGCAGACGGCCCGGCAGAACCGCCAGGCCCCAGACGGAGGCTCTGGGTGGAGGTCACAGGACTGTCTCAGGCAGAGATGGGACGATTCGAATCATCAACTGTAGCTGATGGTTCCACAGTTGCCTGAAGCTAAGAACCCACCCTCTGAAAGCGCTGCATTTCTGCTTATTATTAGGACGATGGCATTACAGACAAGAGTCTCCATCCTCTTCATTTGCTGGGGAATTAATAAACTCCTCTGTCCTTTTCCTCAAACCACTTGTGCTCGTTCTTCTGA